TTTATTTATTCATCTCTGACAATGTTTGAGAATTTCTTTTCCAGAAAACAATACAATTTAACAAAACTTGTCAAAAACTGTCGCCTTGTTTTCATCAAAAAGCCGAAGCTTAGATGGATAAAGGAGATTTCAATTCAATTTATCATTACGCCGTTCGGCTGGACGGACGCTTGAGGTGGGGACATGACGACTACCACGACGACCAATGTAAGTGGGGTCGGAATTTTGCATGTTTACTGCTCCAAGTAATCTCAAGGCAGGACATTTGGCTCGCAATTTGTTGGTCGTCTCTTGAAAGTGAGACATTTGGAGTAGCTGGGTGACACGGAGGATAAGCCAGCCAAAGGCTACAAGATGACAAAATATCTCGGAAACTTTGCCCATTCTGCTTGTCCCATGGTTTACTTCGTCTTCTTCCTCCTCTTCTTCTCATCGAGACGTATAGTTTGGTCGATATTTTTCTCAAAGTCTGATGCATTATTATTCCTGTCCTCCACCACCAGCACCACCACCCCGTCGACCTAAGAGTAATTAATCATCAAGCAAATAGTGCATCCCTGTAAGCCCCACCACGACTGACGAACTCAAAATCTGTCACGCCCCATGTGCATGTGCCCCCGAAAATAAATTGTTGGGTGCATAATAAAGAGCGGCGGCGGAGGAGCTGATACACTTGAAAGTTAATCGGGAGCGAAGGGATAAAGTCATTGAGAACAATTCAATGTGGGGCGGTGGCCATTGTCATGAAAGATTTCCCCACTGTTTTGCATGATGATTAGTTTTGGTAAGAAAATGGAGACGACGACGCCGAGAGGAAGAAGGATTGGACGAGTGAAAGTCAAAGTCAGGGGGACCCCCATTATGAGTAGAAAAATTCTCATGAAACCAAACTTTGCTTCTTGACACACTGCTTATTGGAGAAAGAAACTTTTCTTGTGGATTTAATCATTTTACGGATATTAGATTTTCTTCATCAACTTCTTTCACCACAGCCTCTTGAGCACGTCGCGAGCCCACTGAAACTTATCATTAGGATTCACGAGTTTAAAGCAGAGAAGAAAAAATGAAGGTTGCTCCCCTAATCCGAACTGAGCTCCTTTTGACCCGAATTCAAATCGAATTTTTTTCCATCCTCGCCATGCACTCTCCAACACGGAGTTGTTTTTCTAAACAAACATGAATCGTGGTTTGGTGGGATTGACGTTCGAACTGAGAGGAGAGGATCATCTTCCTCAATCACAGAGCTGAGTTGTCTTGTTGCCAAATACACGCATACATCCAAGCTGAGGTTATGTACGGTCGCCTTATTTTGCTTTCCATTTCGGAAACCAAGCTCAGATTACCAACCAACCAACTTGCTTTTGCTTGGCTTCATCTTCTATTCTCGATAAGCATCCTGCGGTAAGATGGGAGTATCGCAAATCCAAATCTACTACTCTTTTTCCCCATGTTTTTAAAACACTTGATATTTACCTTTCATTTGATTTATGGGCTTATGCAAGGTATGTGCCGTCACATAGGCGCGCACATACACACACATATTCCAAATTCCCTTTATATCCTGTGATGAACTGATGAATGAATCTCAAACCAGAGAGTCAGTCAACTAACTCGGCATCAAAGACGGTTCCTGTACCATAGGGAGCAGGCAGAATGGACCAGTTTCTAAAGGAACCCCCCTCCCGACACATGGGGAGAATGCAATCTTTGTATAAAGAGACCAGAAAACAATTCAATTAACACTCTTCTAACCAAGTGCTTAAATTCCAGCAGCATCTCTTCGCCGTTTCTGCTGCTGCCCTTCCTTCACTGCATCCATGCATAGCTTGTGAATGGCTTAGAGAGTGTAAGATTAGAATTGCGGGTTGGGAATTGGTGATCCCAAATGCAGTGCAATTAGAGCAGGAGAATCCATGAGACTAGTCGCTGGTTGCCCATTACTGCTCTTTTCACACCCATACATTTTTGCGTGTTGTTTAGTGTTTCCAGTTTCAGCCTGCACTTGTAATGTGGCAGAAGGGAAGAAAGGGAGAGAGACTTCTCAATGAAATATGGAACACGGGGCAAATAAATCCCTACACGTTCATCTCACCAACTTGTCATTTCCTTCACATACTTACCAACCAAATCGCATGGCTTTGCCCTCTCTCCTTCTTCCCAGAGTAGGAAATGGAACTGAAAATTTGCTTCATTCTTTGTTGCTCCACTTCAGTGCTGCAATTAAAACGGAGAGTGAGGACATTGTTCACTCTCTTATTGTACTTATGCTGTTTGTGTAGCTGGTGGTGCTGGTGAATAGTGAGACGACTCCAGCAGCAGCATTCTTGAACTATTTACTACTACTACTTGAGAGAGAGAGATTTTATGATTTTATGTAAGAGAGCTTTCCTTTGTGAACTGGTTCTCTCGAACGAATTGCTGCCCATCATGCATAGCATAGCAGCTGTGTGATGCATGAGGACTTATGAAACTTGAGGATCAATTTCCGGCTAAACTTAGCTTGCTGTTTTTCATGGTGGTTTCACTGCTGCATTGGTGTTTATCTCATCTTGCTTTAATGTCGTGGTGCATGCTAGCAGCAGTGGAATGACGACTGTGAGGCCATTAATTCACCTCATCAACACATTCATGTCTCGCTACGCGCAATAATAACACAATTCTAATGCGGTTTGGACGATTTAATGGTTCAGAAATAACAATCAAGATCACTTCATTGGCCGCAAGCATGATTTACATAATTTAAAAAATGTGGAAATGCCGGTCATGTCATATCAATGTCCTAAGATGTCTTATCTCTCTCGGGTTGGTGTTGAATATTAATTGGGCACTACCCACTTCCGGACGGTGAGTCTGAATACACATACCGTCCGTCGCGCAGTCCCACGTCTGCGGAGGACAGGAGAAGAAAAGTTGAGCACAATTAAATGAATTTGTGTACAGTGTGTGATGATGATAGTGGTAGAAATAGGTTTTGTGTTGTCTCCCCCTTCCAATTAGCCCACCCGAACAATTGGCTCAAATTATGGAGGAAACAATGCAATAATGGTTCACTTTTATCTCGCTCTCCCTTCATATTCATTCAAGAGGTCGTCGCAATAATATGGACCGAATGGGAATGGAGAGCCTGTTATTACGCCCATAGACCGAGGAAGGAGAAGGTCTCTCAATGACCACATGTCCAATTGAAATCTCTCTCCTCCACTGCTGAAGGAGTCATTAAGAAGAAGACGGAGAAGAGATGTGTGTGAATTTCTTCTTCTTCGGAAGGAATAAGATCACCTTCTTCCGCCTATCGTGGAGAAGTGTTAGTTAGTCATGGTGATGGTGCTGGTAAAAAATAATGGCTTGTCTTCTTCGTCTTCTTCTTGGTAGGTTGGTTTCGAAAACAGCTGCTTGATTCCGTATATCTCGTTTCCCATCTCATATCCTATCCTTCTTTTGCAGTTCATGAACTCGGGGGAAATAAATGTAGTCTTCTTTTCCAGACTACTACTCCAAGTACGAAGCGTTGTTCTTCTCCAGCAGCAGCATGGGAAACTAACTACTACATCCCAGTCAACAATGCCTACCTTGTTTCCTTCGGAGCAAGTGCCATCATTTCAAAAACTGAGCCTGTCTCCTGCTCCAGGCAATAACTTGGACTCGCCAGTACCAGCAACGCTAGGACCACAAGAATAGGATGGCATGAAGGGGCCGAGAGGTTTCTCGCTGTACACCACGAGACCTGGCTGGATGGCTGGTTTTATATAAGCCAGTGTTCGGGATCGTGCAGGCATTCCAGGCAGCAAAAGGGTTCTTTTGTCGGATGCATGCTCTCTCTTTACTCCGTGAACGGTACTGAAGTAGCGTCCAAAAGCGTGGTGGTTGGTTTTGTTGGGGGCATGCAGAGTACATTATCATTCTCACGAGACTTGGGTTCAGCAGGGAATGCAATGGTGTGTCTGATGATAGGCGCAGACTGTTCACTTCACAAAGTTCACCAAGTAAAAGAGAGAACCGAGAGCGACGACGAGGGTGGGAGAGAGCCCGTCAATTGGGCCGTTCTCTCTCTCTCTCCCAGCTCTCCCGTTCGATGCCAAGTCACCCGGAGTAGTTGGTTGACTATTTGCACGGAATAGATCCGAAATCGGATTTCCCGACTGTAATGTGCCCGCTGCTGCTTGTGTTCGAGCCAGTGGTTTGGTGGGTTGGTTGGTTGGACTTCTCTCTACTTACTTGCCTCGTATTACGGTATCCAAATCGACTACGGGGACGGAAGACCGTTTTCTGTGGGTCGGAATATAATGTAAAACTCATTCTCTCCGTCTCTCTACTACACGCATTCTGGCTGGATTCTCACTTTTCTCTCTACACCAAACTCTTTACGGAAACACCACCGTCCTCCCCAATATGTGTTCCACTTGAAAAGAACGGGACCGTGCGGGAATTTTGTCGCCATGTTTTCGAACTCCACAATCCTAAAGACCTTTCCCCCCCCCCAAGAAACGACACCACCACCCCCACCAGCGCATCGATGATACATATGTGGACCCTTATTGCATCGGGTGCATCGGGCCAAAAAAATGCTACGATTATGTAACGCAACCAACCATTCTTTTCTCCAGCGCTAGGCCTTCTGGAGAAGAGGACCCTTAAAGAATGTGAGATCATGGGACCCATCCAGGTGGGGTGGTGGACGGTGGTAATAATAAATGGTGTACAAGTCGCTGCTGCTTTACCTTGCATTCCTGCCACATGCAACCCTCTTGTAAAACTTGGTTGTTATTAAGAGAGGAGAGCAACTTCTCTGCTTTGCCAGCACATAATATTACGCCAGAAGAGTGGATACGGACATAGTACGAACGGTCTGGGGTGGTTTAGCTGATGGGGATAGAAGAAGACCGTACAACCTACCGCTCGGCTATAGCAGATATTCCAAGTACAACCAAAAAATGTGGTGGTTTATATAGAGAGGGAGAGAAGAAGAGTTTTTGGTATGGAATAACCAAGTGCAGCCACACATCTCTGATCCCAGTGTTCGCTTCCCTTGCACTCAAGCGAAGGTTGCATCCGTGAGTCCTCCCTTTCTCTCTCACTCTCTCGGAAAATTCCTCTCCGGGCTTCCGCCATCTTACACAACAAGATTCAGCCCTTTGTTCCCCCAAAGGTCACCCTCGACCACCACGCAATGACCTCGCACAAGCTGCACGGTCAAAACGAGGAGAAACACCCACAGTGACGCCACGACACGAGTGACCCTCACACAAACGGTATCAAAGCTGTGGTTGTTGCAATTTTAGTGGAACCTTTTTTAAAAAAATCTGTGCGACCAACAAGGTCCGTGTCAACCAATAAGAACCAATTTTACAGCACACGACTCTTCAATACCTCAGAGAATTACTTGAGTGAGATCATCCCAGTTTAAGGTTAAAGTAGTTGAGAAGAAAAAAAAGTCTCTGTATTTTTATTACTTTTACCAACTGTGTACTGTGTACTTATCTTTGTGAGTGTGTGTGTGTGTATGTGAGAACACTGCCACATTTAATTGCTTATGATGCACTGCACTATTCTAAGCAGCGAATGGATCAAGTTAAAAAAGGCATCGACAACATGACGATAAAATAAAGATGAGCAGCAGTCGAGTAGTTAGTTAATGATAATCAGTCAGCGTGAAAGGTCTGGTTTTGGTTTGGTTGTGCTACAATTAAATACTGTACTACAACTGGAGATTTTGGTGTACAAATTAAAACTGAAATATTAACTGGATACTGTATCGGAGTATTGTGGTGTGAAATTATATACAGAACATTTCAAAATAGGGAATTTGTGAAAACGGGAAAATCCCTAGTTTTATTTTATTTCTCAGTTAGTTTTACAACATTCCTCCAATTTTTTCTTACAAGTATTCTAAAATTTAACAAAACTCGTGTACAAGATTAGACTTGATCATCATCAGTGGACACAAATGTCGATAAAACACCATACAAACAAGTTTATAATAATATAGTGCTTTAATACTTACATAAGCGGAGGATGTGGATGCGGTGATACATTTACGCGTTGATTTACCATCCTATCCTCAATGAGTGAGTGAGTGAGTTAGTAAAACTGGATTAATTGTTGTTGGCTTAAAACAAATATGGATTCTGCGGAGCTTGGACTATGTCAGAATGATATAAGTAATGTTACATTATAACCAACAACGGTTGGTCGCCGGACGGACGGATACACATTTTCCTGTTTGAAAGGTATTTATTTATTTTTCTCGTCATCCTCCTCCCCCTCCTTCCACCCTGTTGCAATAATAATGGTAATAACTGGGAAAATAAATAAATAAATTTGCATTATCCCACCTGATTGCTAGTTAGTTGGTGGGAATGACACCATTAAATCAATGATGATGAGTGAGTGATAAATTCCTCCCTGGTACATAAATGCAGCAAATGTTAGTCGTTTTTTTCCTGCCCACTTTTTAAAACCAATGTATATGTAACAGCAAAAAGTAATTATGGCCATTTTAAGCGTATGCATACATGCAAGTATTTTAATTTATTCGCACTTGACTACATGCAGCTCTAGAAGGTTTGTGAGGATTGTTGTGCAATAATGAGTGATAGGAAAAATTGGGATATCTTCACATGCAGCAGCATTACATAGATGAACAATAAGATGCAGAAAGTGGACATAATTGGCATGCCTAATATAGAAGTTCCCTAATTTCTTGGTTCAATAACGAAGCATTTTAATTGATCGTCGTTACACCACAAAGGCACCGTCCGCTCCTCCTACTCCAACTTTCAGAGGTGGAACTCTAGATGGGTGGATAAATGCAGTTTTACGTAATTCTCCACTCTGTTGATCCTTCGTCTGTGACACTTGCACAAGTTTGTCTTTTCTGCACGGCGAATTCAATTCAAATTGCCAAACTCAATTTTTATCTTCTTTTCTATCTCGAATTGGATTTGGATTTAAAGAGCACGTCAAAAATACATGCATACCTAGCTACGATTCACAATTGGAAAAAATCATAGCTTTTTCTTTTTTTTTTGAAGAAGACGGAAAGAAATTTCGACCAAAAAAAACAAAAGGATTTTATTCTGTGCGCTGCGGATGGATCCGGCCGACCAATTTTTATTTTGATTTTTACGATCTTTAATTTAAGACCGTGTAATCTGTTTCCTCGAGCAGACGGAGCAGAACAAAACGTTCCTTGTGTTGTAGCATTTAAATACCGACGAGAAGAGAAGGTTTTCTTCTTTATTGTGTTTATCTTAATAGGAATAACACCTCTCGATTTATTTGCAACTATTAAATGCATCGGCGTTGCTTTTTACCTTCGTCTTCCTTCTTCTCCTCCTCCTCCTCCTTCTTTTCCCGTGAGTAATGTAAATAAAACCATTGGAATTTTAGTGGTGGACGGGTTTGCATAAGAGTCGAGTTGTGCATTCTTACATGTGTAGTGAATTTACGACGATTCCGAATGTAATTATTCCTGCTTTCGCAATAATTGCAAATAAAATTTAAATAGCTCTGACTAGTTCGTGGACAGCTCGTACTTATAAATACATTATGGTCCAAGGGTTAGTTGCATTCAGATTAAATGCCGACATGACATGGCTATACTGCTTGTCGTCAAATTTCACCGAAATTGAGGAATAGCACCCGCGACAGCTAGTTGTAGATGTGTGTGTGTATGTATATGGTGATATTTTGTGCATACGTAAATCGTGTACACTTTTGCCACATAATATGACATAGGATCTCTGCGTCGTCGTCGTTATGTGTTTTGCTTGCTATATTATTGCACTTGTTACGGTTGTATAATGGTTTCCCCAAACACTCTTTTAATAAAACGTGCACTTCCTCAGCCAGGTCTCAAGTGTGACTTTAAATGTGCTTTTATGGCTCTGCAGTCGGGCTGGGACTTTGAAAATGAACATGTTTTGCATACTACTGAGGATACTACAGCTCCCTTGTTTTTAATTTATTTAACAGGGTCTGTTTTGCCTGCATCGAGTCATAGATTGCAATAATGTTGCCCTTGTGGTTCTCGGTTGGTACCACGGTCCGCAACACTTTGGTACTACTGGTGGATGCATTTTGGGTTAAATTATGACGGTGGTAGAAATAATATCCTCCTCCCCCCATCCGACAGGCCCTCAACAACAGTTTAGTTGACTGGTTTAGCATTATTGAACGTGAGTGAATTAATAACAAGCAACACACACCTCGCCCGTCGTATGTACGTACGTCGTACGAATGTATGTAGGCATAGCGCGTGGGGTGGCCAAACCAAACGCTAAGTAATCCTCCTCCACATCTTGGACAATTGATAAATTGAAGGGCGAGCGAAATCAGGACATTATTAGGTTCCCACCGTAAGTGGATGGTTTATGAAAAGGCTGAGGTAATGCATTTCTGATGTCCGTTGTAAATCGGTGTCAGCCGCCAAGTAATTTACGACTCGAAATTTATAATCTTTCCCAATCGAGAAGCAATAAGTTTGCGGGACGGGAGCTGAAATAGAAAAATACAGTATACGGACGGACATCCTGGGATTATTAAACTTGACGTTGACACTTTACAAAGAAAAAACAAAGGCGGACACTGTCTCGGACCATTTCAATCCTTGAAATTGAAAGATGTGATGCCATTGTAGAGTGCAAGTGCAAGTGGACTGCTTTATGACCACTCAATCATTCCCTAAGTTTCAATTCGCTTCCTCAGATCGTTATTCTTCTTCAGGAAGGAGGGTACACAAGAAATTATAAATGTCCAGCCAGGTCATCGCCGTCGTCGTCGTTCACGTTCACTATCTATACCCATCATCGGTTAAGGTTGTAAAGTTTTCACAGGGAGGGAGCTTTCGAAACGGTTCTTTATTTCAAATCAAACCTACACAAGCACAAAGCATGACAATGGACAAGGTCTTCTCCTTAAAATTCAAAGGCTAAACTGTAATCAAAGTTCAATGCTGTGTGTGATATTCGATCCTCCAACCAATAAGTCAAGATAAGAAGTACTTTGAAAGTGAGGATACACCACCACTGCGTTTAAAGAAGGACTAATAATAGTAAATAAATATCGATATCAGGTCATTTATTTTCTCACCCCCACTCGAATTTGGCCTACCTTTGTCGGCTTCTTTCTATAATAAAATGTGGTTTACAAAATATTTTGGGCTCAATTTTAACCTTTTCATATTTCATGGTGGACTGCGGACTACTGCGGTTTCCAATCTAATCCGGCCTTATTGGAAGAAAGGTGTGTTCTGGTACTTGGTAAATGAGCACAGTTGCAATTGTGGTAAAAAATAAGCACGTTGCGAAAAAGATTTGCACGATATGTTTCGCACTCATGAGAGACGTCAAGTGCCGCTATGCTATCCCCACTTTGGGGTAGTTTATTGCCAGGAAGGCGGTGATTAAAAAATACAATTGTGAAATTTTGGTTTGTTTCTGGCACACCTCACGACATGTAAATATAAGTAGCTGCATTTTTGTGGTGGCAACAAATCTTTTCGGAGGAGGTTTCTTCTCCGACTGCTGCAGTTTTATCAAATGAATGCAAATCTCATCCCAGTTGTTGTCGTTAATTGAAAATTGCTTAATGAAGCTGAGCCCTGATTTGAAGGTTTTATGAACAATCGCCACCACCTCAGCATCAATGCCACCAAATCTGGGTTTTTGCATGTATATATGTACATACACATACTACCCATGTACTTATTTACTACTAATTCATGCATTAGAAGGGCATGAAAATTGCCAGAAAACTGACCGGGCGAGTCTCTCTCTCCCTAGTTTATTTGCAGCGTAGGCAAATAAGTAGGTAGGCAGTAGTAGACCATTAGGTTCGTATTATTATTAATCAGTCCTAGTTGATTTTTAAGTCGCCCAGGGCACTCATCATCATCATCATTGTAATCATAATCTCTCTGCGATTTGGAATATCGGTTTATGCCAGGAGAGAAGATGGATGTCCTCATAATGAGAAAAAAAGAGTTTGGCATTCTGATACTCTTTGGACAATTGAAGAGCTAACTGGGTTTTCAATAATAGTTTTCATGCAAGATTCTCATTTCGGATGAGAATGACGATTGGCAATATTATTGTTTCACGTAGAGTTTGGTGGTCTAGAAATTGGGTTTTGGTTGTTGTGGTCATGCGAGTATTTTGAAGCTGCATGAAGTCTCCTCTTCTTGATTGTGTAGAAGAACACTCGACTAAATAGGTCTTCCTTCCTATACAGGGCATGATGTTGTCTCGATGTTGTTGTTGGTGATGCAATCAGGCTCTTCTTATCTAGCTCTCTCTCTCTCTTTGAAACGGAATACATAATGGATTGCCGTGCATGTGTGTGTGTGTGTATGTGATATGAAAAACCACCACTACCACAGTCTCGTCTAGCAACTCATCATCTTTCCATATGAATTTCAATATTATGTTTTAATATCGTGTAACGCCACTAACAAACCTGACTATGTTTTGGTGGTTGGTTGGTAGGTGTGTTGGTGAATCTTCAATTCTTCTTCTTCATCATCATCATCATCTCGAGAAGAAGACGAAGAAGAATATTACGAGTTAAGAGATATGTTACTGCATGCATGTAATGTACCACCGGCCAACTTACTTCACAATCCACCACATGCATTCATTCTCCTCTAGCTGCAAAAACTGTGTGTGCTGCAATGTAATTGAGCGTCGTAAATTCGTAAATTGTTATTGTAATCGTAATGGGAACCAAGCAAGGTGTTGGTTGGCTGGTGGGATGACTGCGAGGTTACATCAGGCAATGAATATCAGGCAATGACCACCACTTGTTCAAAAGTTAAGAAAACCTTTTGAGCCCGATAACTTTAAGGCGAGAGGAGGAAATTTCTCTAAGGACGAAGAAGCAAGAGTAACTAATCTTGTTTTTATGCTGGTTAATATGGCGATCATGATCGTGTAATGTGTAATGATTATAATCCGATCTTACACTCGGTTGGTTATTGCCACATGCAGTTCTTCTCCTTGTGACGGTAACTTGGACGGTCGTCGTCGTGGTGGTGGTGGAAAAGGTGGAAATGAATTGAATGAAGTCCAACTCTATTGGCGATTCTCTTGCAAATTGTTATTACATAGTTTCATTTCCTTTCATTCTTCTTCGTCTCCATTCTTCCTCCTCCACACCAACGAAGCAACTCTCAATTTTGGAGACATGTTTATGACTCGTGAGCCGTAAAATATAATAATAAGTACATACA